CCAGTTCAAAGGACTGATGAGTGAGCACTATTCCCAGATAACCAGCAGTGCCTTCTGGAGGACAGGTGTGTGTTTGGGGAAAGCTGGAGTGTTACAGGTGCTGCAGAAAGGAGGTGGAGGGAACTCAAAGTACAGATTTCCCCAGGCTGCTCTGTCCCACAGCCCTTTGTAAGAGATGTAACCCAATCTCTGGTCCTTTCACACAGGCTAAAGAACCGTTTAGAAAGGCTGATTTGTGTGTTTCCGAAGTGTTACCGTGGGGAAACCATCTGTGTTGTGCTTTGGCTTACCTCAGTGGCAGCCAGAGGTGGTTAGCTGGTGAGAACTGATCCAGATCAGAAGTGAGCAGGCCAAACAAACAGGGATTTGTGAGGAGCAGCTTCCCAGCCCAGCCCTCTGTGTGAGCACAGCAACATCTGCACAGAGGCAGGGATCAGGTGGGTCCTTTGTGCTGGCATAAAGTGATTGCAATTATGGCATGTGTCTGTCTCCTGTCAGGGCTTTTCCTGTCCTAAATGCTGCTTTACTGCTGTGGAACCAGCTCCTGAGTGATGTGGTTGGCTCTGCCCAGGATTGCTATCCCTGGCTTCTCCAGAAACCATCCATCCACCCTGCTGTCAGCTCTAGTGGGTGAGGTTTGCATGCCTTGTCTTCCTCTGAGATTGTAGCACAGTTCTTTTTCTGCCCGGAGGGAGCCACTTGTGCTGTGCCTCTCCGTGCCTGGATTCAGGGATCTCTCTGCTGGAAAATATCCTGCTCTGGATTTTGTGCACTCCTCTGCATATTTCTTGTTGATCTATTAGTGGGGTGGGTGACCAGCTCTTTCCAGAAAATATTAATAAAGGTGTAAGCAGGCAGCACAAGTCAATGTGAAAGGATAACAAGGCTTGTTATGGCAGAAGGTTTGGAGTGGACAAATCTCAAGTAATTTGTTGTAACTGAGTCATGTTCTGTGGGGGTGGAAGTGTTCCTTACAGCCCTGCCCTGCCTTATTTAAATATTTAAACATTTAAATACAGCAAGGAGCAGCAGGGCCAGTACCTTTTCTGTTGCTATATATCTCCAGTGTAGTCTGTTCTGTATTAAATTCCTGTACTGGAAGGCAGTGAAGGTTAGTATTTAGAACTCCTGTGGCATTCATGCATGCATGGATAGCTCTCCCTGGCAGCTTTTTTTCTTTAGGAAAGCATTTGGTCAGGTGCCAATGTCCAGCTTTCCTGAGACACTCTCAGCCCTTTAACCAGTACAGTGACCTTGGGCCAGCCTGGCCACCACCCTTCCTGTGATTCAGTTCAGCAGCTGATAATAAATGGACGTAGAATTTGACATTTTGGCAGTACCTTTGGAGTGTTTGCCCTCTGAGCACAGAGGTCCCAGGGCTGGGAGGTGCAGCAGGCTGCAGTCACTGAAAGCTCTGCCACTGAATGGGCAGTGTCATTGTTGGTGGTGAAGAATGTCGTGTCAAAATGTGTTGTGATATTTGCCAGGAAATGGAGAGTCCATGAATGACTAAGAAGTCCTCTGTGACACAGCTGTGATGGCACTCAGCCTGCAGGCTGGGCTCTGTAAGCTAGAGCAGTGCCTTGAAATTTATGTTGGTAATTTCTTTTGAAGGCACTTTTCTAGTAAAATTTCACCACGGAGTTTGCTATGAAGATGATGAAAGGTCTAGAGGGGAAGTCCTGTAAAGAGCAGCTGAGGTCACTTGGTTTGTTCATCCTGGAGAAGAGGAGACTGAGGTCAGACCTCACTGGGGGCTGCAGCTTCCTCCTGAGGGGCAGCACCAACCTCTGCCTGGGACAGGAGGAGGGAACAGCTGGAGCTGTGCCAGGGCAGGTTTAGGTTGGATTTTAGGGAAAGTTTCTTCCCAGAGGGTGCTGGGCACTGCCCAGGCTTCCCAGGGAATGGGCATGGCCCTAGAGCTGCCAGAGCAGAGAATTTGGACAGCACTGCCAGGGATGCTCAGGGTGGGGTTGTTGGGTGTCTGTGCAGGGCCAGGAGTTGATCCTTGTGGGTCCCTCCTGCTCAGGATATTCTGTGATCTGACTCTGTATTTCCTTTTACTGTTCTGGTGCCTGACCAGAGATTTCCCCCTTAGGAAAGGTAACCCAGAGATGTGCTCCTACCCTGGGACAGTGCACACTGGAACAGGAAAACAGCCTTTGGAGGGGCTTGGAGGCTGCAGGGAAACCTTGGTGCTTAGCAGCTCAGTTTCATTAGGCAGAGTGATCTGGTGCCTTCTGCCAGCTGACAATCACCAGGTGTGTTTGGCCATTTTGCTAATGAAGAGGGGGATTATGGAAGGAGCTGTAATTCAACTAGGGAGCAGTGTTTGTCAGAGGATTTTATTGAACTTGCAATTGCATTTTTCTTCATTACTATATCCTCAATATTTTATGGTTGTCTTTATGTCTGTTTTCATTGTCACCTGATGCCTGGTCTAGATGGGCTATTCCTATCCAGGAAAGAATCAGCTTTACTTCAGCATTATAATGACAAACTGAGAACAGAAAAAAGGGTAAACTCAGCTTTCACACTGCACATATTGTTCATGGCTGAAGGGTCCAGTTAAGTCAACGTCCAATTATATAATGAAGAGATAGTGATCTGTTTAGCTTTTTAGAAAATTAAATTCCACTGAAACAATATAACTGGGACTATAGAAGTAGGAGGAAAACTATTTTCCATTCTGAAGCAGGCCTTTGTATAGAGTTGAGTTTTTTTAAACTCACTAACAGTAACTAATAACTTGTACATTATACAGCCCACACTGAGTCATTGTTTACTCAGGGAAATGACTTTCAACAGCCAGACTTGTTTGTGAAGTTTAATAACTAAAATATGCAGTTCTGTGCTTTACAAGGCTGCACACTATAACCAACATTTTGGAAAAAACAAGACCTGGTGCATATTTGCAACACCACACAGCACTGCATTACAAATGTTGCTGCTGCAGCTCAGGGTTTGATCTGCAGTAAAAGCTGGTGAGTCCAATGGTGTGGTTTGGAGACAGGGAAGATTATTGCAAAATTAGTGTTGGGCTTTTCTAGAGTTTTATTGAACCTTCCAAATTAGAGACCAGGAAGCCTTGTTCTGTGTCCACACCTCTTGTTGTTTTAAATAACAGGTTGTCCTCCACTCTTAGGACTTTTGGAGTCTGTTTGAAATTGCCTCTTGTTCTTCTTGGGAGGGAAAGCCACACCTTTGCACCAGGAAGCCAGGAATTCTTTCTGACAGAACTGGAACTCAGACAGAAAAGCAGATGTTTCTTGTACCTCCTTTGAGTGAGCACTGGAGTTCAGTTGTGAGCTTTTCTGCCTTTTCCTGACTCATGATCTGCTGTTCTGTGTTAGCATGGGATTTTCTCACGGATGTTACAGGAAACTTCCCTCCCCACCCATTACTCCTGTAAAGGTTTTAACAACAGCCAGGGTTTGTGTCCTTGGTTGGTTTTGGGGTTCTGCATAAACAACCAGCAGAGCACCCATCACATTTCTCAAGTAAACCAAGTGCTTAATTTTAAATAGTGTATTCAAAAAGTTTATTTTTGATTTTTCCCAAAATTACAAGCTTCTTTGGACGCAATTTTTTTGGAAAACAGAAAGGAAAACTTCATCTGGTAATGAAGGCAAATACAAAATATGTGACTTGCAAAATCCTCATTTTATTTGTGCATGGATTTGTTTGCTCTTATAAGTGGGGGATGGGATCAAAAGCAAGTTCTGCAGAAAAGTACAGAGTGTGTTTTTGTGTGCCCAACCATAGCACTCTGAGGGAACCAGATTCTTTTTAATTTTGCTGATCTTCTGTCCAGGAATCTGGTGGATAGAACCTGGGAACAGCAGTTGATGGAGCTGTCAGCAAAGCTTAGAGCATCAACTTTTACCATCCCAGAAATTCTCATATTTTGCTTTTAAAATTCCATTAAAACAGCTGTACAGTGCTGTGATAATCCTAGCAGGATTGGAATTACTGAGAGAAGCAGCAGGTTTCCTTGGGCATAAACCCAAGTTCTGACTGCGAGGTGTCAGCATGGACATGGGTTATTTCTGGTCTGCTGGGTGTAGAAAAAGGGTGGATGGACATATCAAGGTGAAACGTGGTTGTTTGGGAAGGGAATTTAAAAATTCATAACCTTCAGGGGTTTGAATATTCTGTGCTGGTCTGAGAGAAAACCAGAGGCTGAAAACCCAGAAGGAAAAGTGGAGGCCAAGAAAGGGTGGGAGACCAATAGAAAAAGCAGAAACTGAAAAGGAGTGGGAGGCCAAAATGGTGTGGGAGGTCAGCAAGGAAAGCAGAGGCCAAAAAGTGGAGGCTGGAAAAGTTAGATGGAGATAAAGATGTGTGGGAGGCAGAAAAGGTGGTGAGACCAAAATAAGCCCATATCAGAGATCTGATCAATCTCCTTTTGCTCTGTTGGCCTCCACATCCTCCTGAAGAAGGGGACTCTCAGACTATTCAGCTGAAGAAAATTCAAGCTCAGCTTTATGGAATAACTTGGGGACAAATGCCCATTGTCTTGGCTCTTGTATTACTTCAGTTGGAGCTTAGTTTCAGCACTTAAAAATTTGGTTTCCAGCAGAAAGCAGTTCTGTAAATTGTTTGAGTCTTGATTGTAAAAGTAGTGCAGATGAGCTGTAGTGCTGTCAGTTCAATACCTTAAAATATTGTCATTTAAGATCACCAAAGAGGTGTCCCCTAAACCCACAGAAGAAGCAGCACTCTCATGACTGCTTTTGCAGGGATTGGAGAAAGCCAGGAGGAATTTGGGATCATTTATGCAAGAGGTATTTCCACACCAGCTGTATTAAAGTCCCTTAGAACTTTTAAGAAAAACAACATAATGAAGAAGCACAGTGTCTTTTTTCTTTGCCTGATATAATTAAAGAATACAAGGGCTGCTGCTTATGAGCCATTTACATATTGGGGTAAAGCTTTCAGACATTATTTGACTCAAATATAAACTAATCTGATTTGAGGTGTTTGTGTCTTGTTACAAGGAAGAAGCAGAAAGAAAAGGAGAGTAAAAAAAAAAAAAAAAAGAGATGAGCTGCACTTCCTGGAGAGAAAAGCAGGGCATGGCTGGTGCTGGCAGCCTGGCAGGTGGTGAGTGCTGGGAGGGACTGAGGACTTCCCTGCTGCTCTGGCAGGCTGGTCATGAGGGCTCCATGTGAAGAGGAAATGTTGCAAGAGATGTGGTGTTCTCTATGCAAAAAACCCTTGTGTTGTGCAGGAGGCTGTTTGATCTCTCTCTTCAAACTGAAACCTGAGTGGTTGCCAAGTGTCTGCTCTGAAGTTTCCGGATCTAGGTGGGGACAGGGGAGTTCCAACTGTAACCTGAATGTGTTGAACTGGCAGCTGCTGGTGTCCAACCACTTGCACTGGGAGGAAAATTGCACAAAGTGGCTCCGTGTAGGATGAGAATGTGAGCTATGTCCAGGCTCACGGCCATGGAACTCAAAGCTGCTCTCCTGTCACTGTTTATTTTTCTCTGGAGGCTTCAGTGAAGTTGGCTGTTTGTCACTGAGTGCAGCTTTGCTGGAATGCTGCCTGCCTGCCATTGGAATAAGGGAGCACCTGTGACAGGACTGTGGTGTCACCTGAGAGGAAGGAAATCAGTGTTGCTGCAGGGTGAGTGTGCACATCTGGGAAGAAATCTTTGTACCAGTCAGTTATTGCCTTCCAAGGAAAAATTAGGTTGTGACAAAACTTTTTGTTTTGGAAAGGTAAATTCTAGTGTTGCTGTTAGCTTGGTACCTGGTTGTCTGTTTTGAGCAGTGAATTTCTCTGTGCTGAACTCTTGAAAGTGCTTTTCAGGCCACACTCGTACTGGTCTCAAATTATCTTAATTGCAAACCACTTATCTGAACTGATGAGTAGTTAACACAAATGTGACACGGTGCTCGTTAGAGTAGAAAATCAATCAGTGTTTAGTGTGGGCTGGATTGACATTTCTGGATTGATAGGGGATGGGAGGTTCATTTGGCTCAATAAATGGCTCAGTGATGAGTGTGTGGAGGGAGCTGCTCCTCTCCTGTGTGCTGGCAACCAAAACCCACCAGCATCAGCCTGTGGCCAAAAAGTGTCAGGTTTTGCATTTTTTGGGAGTAGCAGAGCAGTGCTGGGACAGGACCCCCACGTGTCAGTTTAGGTGATTTCTGGTGCTGCTCCCCTGCTCCTGGAGCACTGCAGCTGACAGGCTGCACCCCTGGTGGCATTCCTGGGCTTGTCCCCAGGGCTGCTGGGGTGACACTGTCCTTGTGTCACTCCTCCAGGATTTAAGTGCTCAAGGCATGAGGGTGTGCAGAGGGGAGGAGATGAACAAGCAGCCAGAGAGTCTTGGAGCTTCATCCATGTCACTTCCATGAAATGCCCTTTCTTTTGTGTTCCCCCAGTATCTAAGATAAGCTTATCCTGATATCAGTTCTGTTTAGAATCATAGAATGGTCTGGGTTGGAAGAGACCTCAAGATCATCTTGTTTCACCTTTCACTGAACCAATTTTAATTGGTTCACTGTAGTTCTCCACTCCCTGCCTTGTGCTTGATCCATCTGACCCTTTGATTAACCCTTTGAAACAAAGCTGGGAGAGCAGTGATGACAAAACCAACATTTTCTATTTGTTTCAGTTCCCTGAACTGCCTGCTCAGAGCTGAATGGATCTTAGGGGGACAGGGCCAGGACAGGCACAGCTGGGACAGAGGCTGTGTCACAGTAACATCAGCTGACAGCAGCCTGGGACTGCCCTCTGGCACCTCAGAGGACATTTTCTGTGCCCTTTTCACCTTGGACAAGTGTCTGTAGTGTAATGATGTGGGAACGATGGCTTGTGTGCCTGTTCTGTTCTTACACTGCTGTGTTTTGATCCTTGAAGCCAGTGCTAGTGAGAAGTTTGTTTGCTAGAAGGTTCTGCAGTCACACTGGGGGACTTTTGTGCTCTGATGTGTGGGCTGATTGGCACCAAAACCTCCCAGCATGTGGATGTGGAGCTAGGCCAGCTGTTTGGGACACAAATGGTAATTAGTTGTTTTCTAAATGTTGGCTTTATCAAGGTTCACAAACAGAACAGGCCATCTCCACTGCTCCTAATGAACATTCCCAAGCTCCAGCAGTCCCAGCTCCTGAGCAGTGCAGGAGCACCTGCCCCTGAGTCCTGCACTGCTGGTGCCCTGTGATGTGCTGTCAGATCAGAGAGAGGCACTGATAAATCCTTCCAGGCTGCACACACGTGGACATGGAGCCAGGAATGGCTGCTGTCTGTGCCTCCTCTTGCCAAAGCATCCTTACAGTGGCTGCCACCCAAAACAGGGAGAAGAGCCTGAGAAACAGGGGTCCAGTTGGGCACTGGTGTCTGGAATATTTTGCTCCCCTCCCCTTCCCAGAGCAATGTTTTCCATGGATGGAGTTTGGGAGAGCCAGTGCACTGAGGGTCAGGATGGGGGATACCTCACCCACGTGAGGATGCAGAGATTCCCACTTTTGCCCTGCTTTTCACCTGGTGTAAAGATCCAAGGAACCTTTGAGCCCAGTGGGACTCTAACAAGGCATTTGTGGTGGGTATCTGAGCATGCCATGAGACACAGAAAGGGTAAGGGAGAAGGAATTAATTCTGCTGCCAGAACCTTCCGTGCCAGAGGTCGGATGTGGCTCCGTGCCCACTCTGGGCATACGTGCAGGTTCCTGCAATTTGTTGCTGTCACCACCAGCAGTGGCACACAAGGAAACAAAATTTAAGAACACCATCCTGCAACAGAGACCTCAGGAGGCCATTTCTAGATGGGATTGGAGCTCTGTGTGGAGTGGTGGGCTGTAGGCTCATTGTGAGGGTAGAAAACAACCAAAAGTGGTTTGCTCTGGAATTCTTTATGCTGTAGTAGGCAGCTGGATTAAAATGTTGTGGAGTTTTGCTCCTTTTTGATGCACTGTGGGTGAAGAGGTTTCACAATCAGCTGTGTCCCAGAGGGTGAGCTGGAGTGGGTTAGCACTTGGAAAAGTGAATTTTGGAATAGTGGGGTTTAACCCTGCAGGCACCTGCACGCAGCTACTCCTGAGAGCCATCAGCTGTTGTGGAATTTGTCAGCTCACCAGACAAGTGTGTGCTGCCTCTCACACACCCCAGCAATTCTGAGAATGTGAAGGACTCTCAGATTCCAGTCTTCCCCTCCAGCTCTAGGGGCTGCTGGAAGCAGGAAAGGAGGTCAGGCTTGAAATCCACAGTCGGAGGGGAGGAATTTGTGGATGCAGAGCAGATAACGCCCATCACTCTCTGCACTGGCCACTCCCACTCCCCTGCTTTGTGGAAAGTCTGATTAAAGGCAGCCCTGCCTGTCTGAGCCATACATCCATGCACAAATGCCAGATTCTCTTCATTCCAGCCTGCTGACTTCAAGAAGGACTTGCTCTGACAAGCTGGAAATGAGGCCTGGCAGCTTCATCTGCAGCTCAAAGGCTTTATCTCTCTTAGACACTCTTCCTAACATTTCCCACAAACACTGCTCTGCTGGTAGGAGCTGTTGCACACACAGGATCCATCAGGCACTCATGAATAAAGCCTTACCTTGTGTAACTCTCCTCAGAACAGGCAAGGAGCACTTCACAAAGCACTTGGCACCAGGCCTGTGGCAGAGCTGGCTCTCCTTGTGCCTCAGCCTCATTATCTGGGGAGCAGTAGGAAGAGCCAGCTCAGCCTTTGATTCTCCTGTCCCCCTACCAAGCACTGATGTTCTTTCCTCCACAAAAATCCTCCAGCCCAGCCTCCATCTCCCACTTGGACTGTTTCCATCAGCTGAAATCTGGCAGCTTTCCATCACTTCCAGCTTCCACACCATATTCTGACAATTCACCTCAGCCTCTCTTTCCTGTCTGAGCTCCCACCTTCGCTCCTGCCCCTCTGCTCCATGATGAGTTCTTTGACTTCCAGGATTGTTCTGCCCCAGCAGCAGCTGCTGTTGCCCTGGTGTTGCCTCACTGCTCCATGAGGGATGCCAGCTGTGTCCACCTGTTAGGTTGTTTTGCATGTGCCTTTAAGGCAGCTGCTTCTGCTGCATTTGCAGCCTTAAACCTGGAATATTCATATTCCCTGGCCTATCTGAATCAGTGGATGAACTCAGCCTTCACTAAATGCTTTCCCAGGGTGAAATCTATTTGAGATGTAATAATGGTTCTAGAGAACCTGTGCCAGGAACTGCAAGATAGCCAAGCTCTTCTTTGATTGCTGTTTCTGTTTCAAAATCACTATTAGAGCAAGTGTACTTTTACCTTCACATATTTAACATGTGGAATGAGATAACCTTCAGCTTGATGCAGTAAGGTGTGCACCCTCATATAAAAATTTATCATAAATCAAATTTGAGTCATCACCATGATTGTGGCATGATTTCTGCTTGAAAGGGCATCTTTGATGTCATCACCATGTTGCTTCACAAGCAGCTTGCTGGTGATATTTTAGGTTGGGGAGGGTGTGTGCATGTCTATAGCTTCTAAAAACCATCAGGCCAGTGTCAAATGTCTGCCCAGTGCTTTACAGATTGCACAAGGGGCTGTTAGCAGACAAAACTTTTTTTTTGTCTGATTTTTGAGGGAGGGCTCTTACCACAGGGCTTTGACTTATGGCCATATAACCACCCCTGTTGAGCAGAAAGGGGATCCCACTGATATCTGCTCCAAATGCTCTCTCCTGACCATGGCACTGTGCTGCCTGGACATTGTGTGAACTCAGACTTGTGAAACAAAAGCTCTAATTTCCCTTTGTGAAGCTTGATACAGAGCACACAGCTCTGGAGCAGCAGGATATGAGAATTAGAATCACTGGTGCAGTGAGGATTTTGAGCAAGAAGCAGGCATGAAATACCCAAAGCATTTAACCTCTGTGTTTTATTCATCCTGGAGCAAATGTAATTTAAAGTGGCACCTCTATAATTGATGAAGTATCTTTTTACCATTTGTTTAATTACCAGTTTCAGTGTCTAGAAAGCAGCAGATCAATAATTTACAGTGATGAACTTCCCTGTGTCTCTGTTTTTCTACTTCAGCCATGCAAACAACAGCTCCTGAAACAAACCCTCAAATATTGATGCTTTCCTTTAGGTGATATAAAAGAGCTTAACCTTTTTTCCTGCCACGGGTGCACTCCAACACCACTGAAGCTGAGGGCAGAGCACTGACCTTGGCAAGGCAGGGTTAATTTAGGGCTTGCCCTGCATTTTGTATCAGCTCTCAGCTTTTTGCAGCCTCCTCTTATTGCTGGAGTGATGAAGGCTGGGCTCCTGTTGTTGCTGTAACAGCAGATGCTGCTGCCCTGGCTTCAGGAGAATTGTTAAAACAGAAAATTTAAGCTAATGAACCAAAGCTGCTGGCTGTGGTTTATATCTATTTCTTACATGATGGGTTTTGATAACAAATGTTGACTTTTCTATGTGAAATACCTGTTCTGGAGAGTCTTGGATCCTTCTGTCAGTTTAGAGCTCGGATTCCCTCATGGTCCTGCAGCACCTCCTCAAGGGGAGGTCCTGGATCTGTCCAGGAGGAGCTACAGGATCTGTACCTGTCAAACCAGAGGGAAAAGGTGTTTCCCAGTGGGATGGGCCTTCAGACAGTTCCTCCTGTGGTCCTGGCTGCCATGGACTGTGGGGT